TCTCTTCCCTGTCCTCCCCCCAACTGTTCCCTGTCCTCCCCCCATCTCTCCCTCTCCTCCCTCCCCTGTCCTCCCCTCTTTCTTGCTGTCCTGCCTCTCTCTCCCCCTCTCCCCATTCACGTGAAGTTCACAAGAATTTTTAGAACCCCACCCAAAATACATAGAAAGCCACACAAAGATAATGAATACTGCTCAGTTCAACAGCCTGATGAGACTCGCTTCAGTTACAAATAATCCCAAGATTTGGAAGCTCAGGGTCACTACATTACCACAGCATAAATCTTTCTTTAAGGAAAAAAGTAAAGGATTCTGAAATTATTACTAGTGCAATGAAAATTGTGGCAAATTTTGTTTTCGGGAAATTAAACTGCCCTTTTGAAAGTGTTTTTTTTACATTAAAGCATTGGCGTGTAAACATTTTCAGCTCCCTGCCTCTCTTTTTTCATTCCCAGCTGCTGAATTTGAATGGCACTGTGTTCAAATGGAACAAGGCAGAAAAAGCACACACACAGGCACAGACACAATTAAACTAGCAAACCATTTTTGAGTTTATACAAAAAAAAGTTCATATCCAACCCAGCGATTTTTTTTCTGTCTCTGATGTTTGGTTCTGCAGTTATGGTAACCAGACAAAATATACCAGAATAGTCCTTCAGACTTATCAGGAGCAGTCAAAGCTTTTCGGGAAATTTTAATAAACAATTTTTTTTTGGATTGATGTAGATTCGATCGGCTTCAGTGAAATCTTAATGCTTATTAAAACCTTGTCAGTTGTCTTGATGTTCTGGGTTTAAAGAAACGGACAGAGCACACCTCGAGTTGCTGATTAACTGAATTAGCAATGTGACAACCATTCAGCATATGGCCACTCTTTGATGGCCTTGTATTTGTCTCCAGATTCCTTGTCAATCAACAGTCTCTTGATGAATTAAAACGCAGCTCCTTTTATTTGGTCCCACTGTGGGATAGGACTGTGTCTGTACGAGAGGAAAATGATGTCTTAGACCAGATATGTTGTCAATTCTACCAAAGATTAAGACTATAATGTTACAGTGGATATGGGGAAAAAAAAAATTCTTTGTTCCAGATTTGTTTAATAGCAAAGAGAATCTGTGGCCAGGATAATCAAACTTCCACGGCCAGTATTTAAGAATGGATTACTGGGAGTAACAGTAAGTGCTGGAAGACATGTATACAGAGATGGCTATGTATTTTAGAGAGGGTCATTAAACTGTTATTTACAACTGGGTTCAACTGTAAAATTTTTACCAAATCTGAGGTTTTGCTTTTGTTCCGAAATGTTGCAGGAATGAATACATTGAACTGAGTTATGATACAGCCAGAGATATTTTTTCATCTTAGGGATTTCCATTAGATTCTGGGGGATTTCTATAGGGGTAATGGTTTGGGAACACTCGCTGACATTGCGGCTATAATTGACAGCAGGGTCAGAATACATACACAGCAACTGCTTTCCCAGAAAAGAATCCGAAATGGTTTACTTTTCCACCCCCATGCCTTTACCTCAGTATTTTGACAGCTCAAACACTTTGGAAAGTTTTATATCATTGTTTTCACGTACAGAAATATGTATTAACTTTTATGTATTAACTTTGTATTCAGTGATGTTAGTGCTTTGACCCACTGCACAAGGAACAATTTCATTTTTCTTTTAATTTAGGTTTTATTAGTCCACGCAAACATTTAGCCGGATCAAAAATGTTTTTTTTTAATGTAAATGCTTGAGGAAGAGAAGGGGAGGGAAAATGCTGGAAAGTGGTGAACTAGCAAGTCACTGCTTTGTGTGAATGTTAAGTAGTTCATTAGTAGATGGGGATGACATTGGGATGCTTTCAGTGTTTTGTGGTAATGTAATGCAGCAGTGTTAACAGTGTAAAATGTGCATTGACAGCAATCTATGAAAGAAGCTGGAGATGGGCTGCAAGACCAGATGAATTGTATGATGGGTGCACTGCAGGAGCTGAAACTTCTCCAAGTGCAGACAGCTTTGGAGCAGTTGGAGATCTCAGGGTTCCAGGGCCAAGCTCCATCCATCACTCAGAGCCAGCCACGGCTGACAAACGGCAAGAGCAGCGAGGGCTGGCCAGGTACCAGGCTTGAAACAAAGAGCTGCAAACCTAGCAGCAGCAAACTCCACACACCGAGCCCTACAACCTTTCCAGGGCAGGCTGAGAAACCCCTGGGCTCACAGCTAAGAGAATGTCTGAAGGAGATACCTTGTGAAGAGATGCAGTCTTCTGAGCTGTCATCCAGGCCCCTCGATCCTCTCGATACGCCATCGCCGGTTTCATCCAGATTCTTAAATCTTGACAAGCAGACCCAGACAGTTTCTCCTACAAAGGTAAATGAGCCCCCTGTGCCAAGCAAGTTGGGCAGTAAGACAATGCAAGATTGCAATGCCTCCAATGACTGGACTTCCTCTCTGCTCTCCCAAAGTAGGAACAGGCAGCCCCTCATTCTGGGTGACAACATTTTCGCTGACTTGGTGGGCAACTGGTTGGACTTGCCTGAGTTGGAGAAGAAGCCCCCTCTGGCCGCTGTGGATGGACGAGCTGGGCGTGACCATGGCCCCTCGCTCAGCAGATCTCAGGAATTCCAGAAGAAATTGAACCTGACGGCCAACATCTTCAAGAAGCTGCTGAGAAGCGTTCGGCCTGACAAAGGCAAGCTGGTGAAGGAGAAATGCAGCCAGGTACCAACGAGTAACCCTGGAGATGCTATCACCAAGAGATCCAGCAAGGGATCCAAGCAGAAGGTGACTTTTTATTTTGAGCTGCGGGGAAGCAACAGTCAGAACAAGAAGGTGCAGGATGAATGTGGAACCTTACTGGATAAAAAGGATCTCAGACCCAATAACTGTACAAATAAACTGATCCAGTCGGTGACAGAGAAACAATCTCCATTTGACTATAACTCTGTGGTTTGGGTCTGATTTCAAATATGAAAACCCTTGAAAGAAAAATGAATTGCACTTAATTTCATTTATATCCTACATGGTTCCAAAGACAATGGGATCAATATTGTTTACAGTAGTTATTTTTTCAAACCCTTTCTTTTTGAATATTTGATTGTCAAGAGTGAAACATGTCAAGATTATTTAAAAGGAGATTGCCAGACAAAACGATTTCTATCTTTCAGTTTGCCACATTAAGACAAACCTGTGCAGAAATGTGTCTCTTTGCAAGTTGCCTGCGAGGTTACCATAATTCAATAGATCAATTTCCTCTCGTCTGCCTTCTGTCATTAGTCATGATGTGGAGGTGCCGGAGCTGGACTGGGGAGGACAACGTCAGAAGTCACGTGACACCAGGTTATAGTCCGACAGGTTTATTTGGAATCACACAAGCTTTCAGAGCGCATGGTGACAAAGTCAGGTGCACTTGAGAAAGGGGCTGCACTCCGAAAGTTTGTGTGATTCCAAATAATTCTGTTGGGCTATATCCTGGTGTCGTATGACTTCTGACTGTCATTAGTAAGAGAGGTCATTCCTCATTAATACACATCCTCTGTCCCCTTGCTCACCTCCAAACAGCTGGCTTTTTCCTGAGATTTATCCATAGAAGCCCTCTAGTTCATCTGTTTTGTTTTTCATGTACCAGAGTTTCGCTGACCTTGACAGTTGATCCCAGGACTGGCCATTTGCTGATCCACACTTTGATCTCAACTGATCGCCACTTGGCCCGAGGTTTGTGAGTCATGGCAATGTACTGCAGACTGATGTTTCCCTTCCCAGAATGCCCCACCTAATGCCCTACCTGCAAGGTCCCTTCTGAGCCACACACCTTCCTTAGAAATATATCACTGTTCTTTCAGTGTCGCTGGGTCAAAATCTTGGAACTCCTTCCCTAAAGGCATTGTAGGTCTACTTACAGCAGTTCAAGAAGGCAGCTCACCACCACCTTCTCCAGGGCAACCAGGGAAGGGCAATAAATGCTGGACCAGCCAGAGATGCCCACATCCTGTGAATAAATTTCTAAAAAACTGAAACCAGCTGAATCCAGGCCACACTAGAAAATAAGATCTTCCTGTATAGTATTTCTCAATGTCACAAAGGGCAATATATTTAATGACAGACCTAGACATGAAACCTGTGTCTCTGTGTCCCTGGTGTTCCAATTTGGCTGTATTTAAGAAGGTCCTTTTTCTTAGCTTTTGTAGTAAGTTCAAATGGACAAATTCTTCATGCCTGTAAGGATGATAGGACAGAGTCATCAGATGAGTGTGAATTTCCTGTGGTCTGTGAACGAGTGAGATGAAGCAAAAAAACTTTGTTCTGAGTTTAGAATCTGACTTGCTTGTTAATATTTGGGAGGATGTTGTAGAATAGCAAGATATGGCTCACTGCTTGTCTAAGAAGTTTGAGTTGAGCATGGGAACACAGAGCTAAGAGATTTAATAAATGTTGGCAGTGTCCACATTGAAACAAAGTTGGCTGATTTTTAAGATCTTCTGTTCTGAGTCTTTTCTTGAGGATAATGTGAGTCTTTGCTGACTGAGGTTACTTTTAAAATTGTTTTATTTCCTGCGCTTGTGAATTTATTTTGGCTCCCAACTCTGCAGTACCTTGATTTTTTTTATTTTAAATTTTCATGCTGATGGTCACAGAGTATAAGAGAGGGAGTAGGCTATTTTCACCCTTCGAGCCTGCTCCACTATTCAACCAGATCTGGCTGATCTGTTTGCAGTTTTTGGTTTTATTTTCCTGTCCAACTCCCATAACTCTTAACTTTCTGGCCAAACATAAACCTATCAAACTCAAACTTAAAGATCCAATGTCTACTAATTTCTAGGGTAGAGAGTTCCGCACTGAGAGAAAAAAATCAGATGTCTTGATTGACTCTCATTTTCCCACCTCTGCAAGCTCATCAAGGGCATGTCTTCAGCTGTTGGGTCCAAGGTCTGGAATTCCTCCCCTATTCCTTTGCTATTTTAAGGCAGTTCTTTTTGATCCAGCCTTTGGATCCTTGACCCAATATATTTCTCTATGACTTTGTGTCAAGTTTGCCTGATTGGGCTGCATTGCTGGGTCAAAGGCAAGATGACGATGTTTTGTCGGAAACCCAGGAGAGAAGATTGCTGATGGTCTTGTCCTGATACACATGACCTTGCAAACTGCTGGCTGTTTGAAGCAGCAGTACACAAAAATCTACTAAGATCAATCTGAAGGCTATAAATAAATCACAAAACACAGTCTGGGAGATGGAGCTGACTCTGACATTCTTTCTATAGCTAAAATATCATTGGTCACAAAATATCTCTGAGGAGAAAATGGAGAGTGGGAGGATTTTGCAGTTATACAAGACAAATCCAGAGGAGATGTCATAGAAAACTATGAAGTATTTTGATAAGGAGATACTAATTCCATTAGCCAAAACAGAATAGTAGTTTTGAAAGTGAATTTGTTGTATATTTGAAAATAAAAGCTGCAGTACAAAAGAATGGGGCTAGTGGGCCTAATTGGATAGCTCTGTCAAGGAACTGCCATAGGCACGATCAGCTGAATGGCCTCCCCGCGTGCCATTGGTGGCATTACTAACTGTTCATTGGCCAATTGCACAGAAAATAGACTTCGAATTTGGCAATGTACGTAATGAGGACATGAAATAAGAACAATTCTCATCTAGCTCACCAACGTCCTTCAAATGTGCCATCCCTATATGGTGTGGCCTACATGTGACTCCAGACCCACAGCAAAGTGGTTGACTGTTAACTGCCTTCTGGGCAATTAAGGATAGGAAATAAATTCTGGCCCATCCAACAGTGCTCAAATCCCACAAATGAATAAAAAACAAATAATGTCATTAAGAGTGTGAACTGGTGGGGCAGGACTGTCGTGGAGAAGGGCAGAAAGACTGTGACCTTGATCCACAATAATCAACACCTGAAGGCCTGGGAAACACAGTTTGGGGTTTTTGTTTTGGCCTATACTAGTTTACTATAATTTATGTGGGCCTGGAGTTTTAGAGTCATTCTTAGCATCTCTACCTCTATGGTTGACTCCTCAAGCAGAACACCAACATAAGAGGAATGCAAATCCGTGGAAATATAGATTAAAATTGTGTATGAGGTCAGTGTAGCCAACTCTGGTGGGATACATCCCTGGAGGTTTCATCACATGACCACCAAGCTCAATCTATGTGCTGCCATTGGTCCATCTCCAAGGCACCATGGCCAATTGGAAAGCGAATAAGGTCTTTGCTGACCCCATTGGTTTAAGAATTAGAGAAGGTTACATCTGCGAAGGAGACCAGTCAGCCCATTGTGGCTACCCAGTTAATGACGATTCTCCTCGATCTTTCTCAGCCTTGCAGATTTTATTTTGCAACTTACTGTCGGTAAAGCACACCTTGTTCTTCTAGCTATGATATGTTTATTGCTGCCTTCTCAAGGGCAATTAGGGACAGCCAATAAATGCTGGACTTCCTTACAATATCCCCATCACATGAGCAAACACTGAAAAAAAATCCTGTATAATGACAGTGGGGAAATAAAACACAATTTTGTTTAATGCTCCTATGCTTTTACTTCCAGAGCCGCTTGCAGCTGTGTTCTGAAGATTAGCCTTCAGGTTCCCAGAGGATTGGTAACTCTATATGAGGGTCACAGTACGGTCTATAAGGCTCCATTAATGTGAAAGCTTTGATTACTTGGCAATATAAGCTTTTGCAACACTTACAGAAAACTGAAAAGTGGCTAGCTGCCTAAAGCAAAGTTACACTTGAAGAAGTTGATTCGAAATCCAAATTCCAGCAGCCTGTCTCTGTATATTATATCAGCCCCTAGAGCACAGCTGTTGAAATAATTCAAGCTATTGGTAAACTGAATCCCTCACACACTGACCAGCTGGTTCTTATCTTCAAAACAATGTTAAAAGTGTGTGACTAAATCTGAAACTGTAGGGCAGGGAGTGAGAATGAACATACAAAATAAGACCACAAGTAGACCATTCAATCTTTCAAGCCTACTCCGTCATCCAGTAAGATCATGGCTGATCTGTTTGTGTTTCAAATTCCTTATTTCCTTCTACTCCTCAGTAACATTTGATTCCTTTGCCTAATAAGAATCTACCTCCACCTTAAAATATTCAATGACTTCACCTCTGTCACTGAGGCAAAGAGTTCCAAGCTCTCACAGCCCTCAGGGACAAAAGACTGATCCTCAGCTCTGTCCTGAAAGAGTAATGACTTATTTCAAAACAGTGCCCCTTAGTTCCGGACTGATCCACAAATGAAACATCATTTCCACCTCCACTTTGTCAAAATCATTCAGGATCTTATACACGTCAATCAGGTCACCCCTCTGCTAAAGTCCTATGGAAGCAAACCCAATGTCCAGTCTGTCCTCATAAGACAACCCACTTATCCCAGGTACCAATCTAGGACACATCCTCTAAACAACCAAACTTACTTTGATAGGACATATTCCTGACCTTGCATCTGTGTCACCTGTCTGTACAGTGTGCCCCCACCCCCCCCGACCCCGCTTCCTTCCATCTCCATTGAAAAGATTTTTTGAAGAAAATGCAATTTTGTAAACACTGCCTCCCATGAGTTCGTTTCTCCTGGGTTTCGCTCACAGCACTGTTTCAGAGATGAACGTTTCATTCCTGAAGCCTCCAAACCAACCTGGAGAGCCAGAAACCAAACTTGTGTGCGGATGGACTGTGGTAAGTGATGGACTGGGTAGTATTGCCCTTTGTGGTCCTGGATAGAAGGAGATCAGAGCGTCAGGGAAATCTGCCCCAACAACCTGACACATGAAATGGACACACAAACACAAATGAACACACATGGGGACGTGATAGCCTAGTGGTATTATTGTTGGACAATTAATCCAGAGACCCCCCAGATAACATTCTGGCGACACCGGTTCGAATCCCGCCTTGGCAGGTGGTACAATTTGAATTCAATAAAATATCTGGAATTAAGAATCTAACGATGACCATGAACCATTGTCGGGAAAAACCCATCTGGTTCACTAATGCCCCCTTAGGGAAGGAAACTGCCATCCTTACCTGGTCTGGAATACATGTGACTCCAGACCCACAGCAATGTGGCTGACTCTTAACTGCCCTCTGGGCAATTAGGGATGGGCAATACATGCTGCCTAGACAGCGATGCCCTCATCCCGTGAATGAATAAAGAGCCAGATTCTCCATTCTTGGGATCCTGGATAGTGAGAGACTTCAAAGGGGTGGGGGAGAGTGGTCTCCTCTCTGTATTTCCCCAGAAGGTGAGCCTGGAAACCATTAAAATACAACCTTGTGAAATGCTTGAGAAAACAATGCCAAGGATACATTGAATTGATAAGGGAGCACATTATGGCAGCAGGCTATTGTAACAGCCCTGTGTAGTGGGGTAAGAATCATGCTTTTACAGTCAGAAAGTCATGGGTCCAAAGTGCTTCCAGTCTTTGAAGTACTTTTTAAAGTGTTTTGCACTGGAAAGAAAATTTCCTACATAGCCAAATCCCAGAAACGGCTATCCAATAATGATCAGACTATTTGTTTCTCAGTGATGTTGGTTAAGGGGTACATATTGGCCAGTAAACCAACAAGAACTCCCTACTAGAATGAAACCGAAAGAACTGCGGATGCTGTAAATCAGGAACAAAAACAAAGTTGCTGGAAAAGCTCAGCAGGTCCAGCAGCATCTGTGAAGGAGAAAACAGAGTTAACGTTTCGTGTCCGGTGACCCTTCCTCAGAACTCCTCTACTCTTCAGAACATTGCCCTGAGACTTTTTAGACTGTCTGAGAGGGTGTACTCAGTTTAAATTCTCGTTGAAGAGACAGCTTTCCCTCAGTACTCCCACTGGGAGTCTCAGCCTGAATTATATGTTCAAATCTGTAGACTGGGCCTTAAACCCATGACCTTCAGATGCAGAGGTGAGTGCACCATCTACTAACACTGTTAGCAGGCAGTATTAGGGACTGAGTGCACCTGCACAATGACAGTATATAAAATTTTAGCAAGTCAGGTGTCAGGAAGTTGGTTAGCTCAGTTGACCGGACAGCTGATTTGTGATACAGACCGGTGCCAACAGCATGGGTTCAATTCCTGTACTGACACAGGTGGCTATGAAGGACTCTGCTTCTCAACTGTCCCTTTGCCTAAAAGTATAGTGACACCTAGGTTAAACCACTTGCTCTGGGACTATAGTGACTTTACCTTACATTAAGCCTGTTGTGAGAACTAAACCTTGCCTTTCCCATGCTAGACGCTGCAGTTTTGAGGCTAAGTCAATCAGGCAAATGTCTGATTATTCCACAAGCCTCTCCAATTCCAGAGGCCCAGCTGTCCTCTCAGCTCACATTCCACTTTTGAAAAAGCTTGGACAGAAAAGCTGAGCAGGGTCATCCCATGGGAACACAATCTCTCGGAGCAGGGATACCGACAGCTG